AAGTTCTCTAAAAGATGCTCTGGTTAATGTATTGAAGTCGTTAGCTAGAACCAGTGACAACAAGAACTAGGCTAACAAGGATATGTCTGGTAGATTAAAATCGGGCAATGACGTCATAGCCTAATAATCCAAATACGGTAACCCCATGCGTTAGACACGCCCTCCTGGGTGTAATTAAAATGACACTGTGTTGAGATTTAGGGTATCTTCTGTGCAGCTCAACAATCGGATAAAGGTGTATGCATGCACGTATCCTCTTTATAAAGAACATGCCAGGTTTAAGTTTCTTTAGGCATCATTTCGTATTCTCAAGAAAGACGTTACAAGAGACTCTTCGGCTGAGAGGCTGGGAAACACCGCTTCAAAACCCAAGCTATGGGATAGAGAACGTCTATTTAGCTTATATTTAGTGTCATAGCTGTGTGTGTAGTTTCCTTTATATAACCGTTGTATTATGGATGTTATAAAGTTATAAAACATATTTAACCAACAAAGTGCTCCAGAGTTATTTGATCATCCGTGACCAGGAGAGTGTCACATTATTACGTAATTTGGTATAGCGCCCTTCTTTCACAAATGCATAAGATATTAATTTTAGAATATTATTATACAATTAGCAATAAGTTTTCCGAAAATATATAAGAGCCTTTTTAACGATAGGAACATGACCAAAAAACTCGCGAGGAAAAATAATGTGGAACTCGACGTCCTGGCAAAAAAAACCCCACAAGTTATATAGATTGATCTGCATTGTACAACCAATGTTAATAAATGGTTGTGTAGAAAGTTTTATATGCACTTTACAATAAATGGTTGTGTAGAAAGATCTAGAGTACAGTCAATATTAATAGGAAGTTAGGAATGAAAGAGTAGAAGGGTAATCACCTTATTACATCACTGATTGGACCACAGTTTAATTTTTATCATTGACGGGCTTCCTGTTCTAGAGATATATTACGTGTCCGTAAAAGCTTGTGAACACGATAGAGCTCAGATTCTTGAAGGCATTGTATGTCATGAAATTTGATCAAAATCCTTTCAGATAAGCTTCTGTCTATGACTATTTGTCTTTTTATTAAGACATAGCATGATTGGGCTTTCTTTTAAAGGCTCAATACCACTCTTGTTGTAACTGAATGTCTGTCAATTTAGCTTTATTGTGGGAAGGTCAATTTTTCAGAATGTATTTATCATTACTTACTGTACATTTACCATACATATTGAGGCCCGAGTAAATTCTTAATCATTTCTGTCAACTTCTTTTTCCGCCGTTTAATTGCAGAGTCTTTTGTACGTTGACACCCCAATGTTCCCAAACCCGCCTAACCATTTGATCAAGAAATAACAAACGCTCCCTCACTTAAGCTGGCATACAATTAGCTCGCAGATAACAGTCGGGTTGCCAGTTAGTTATACCCTGACAATTTTGCCCAGTACTTGCTCCATGGGCGTTTTTCGGGTAATCAAGTATTTTTTCTAGTAAGATTGGGTGTCTATACTTTCCATATATACCAAATTTGGAATACTTTTATTGGAAATAACCACCCGATAAATACTTTTCTGGGAAAGTATCCTTAAACACAACGAAAATCGTTCAGCTGTCATTGCGTTGTAGCACGAAATGCCCACTTTCGATTCAATCTGAATAAAATACAGATCTTTATTTCAGTTCCTGTTTTTTTTTATAAACTTTCGATGGCCTACACTACAGGAATGCTCGATTGTCCGAATAGACAGTTATTACAATCGAGTGATGCGGAATTCAATCCTGTCACAGTTCTGTCAGTCCCGACAACGGAGATGATGTGAGTAGAATCGTGACGTAATTAAACACAACCAATATGTTCAGCTGCCATGGCTGTTTCAGATAATATGTTCTTATTCAGTCGTCGCATTCCTTGCAATCCTGTCACAGTTCTGTCAGTCCCGACAACGGAGTTGATTTGAGTACAATCGCGACGTAATTAAACACAACGAATATGTTTCAGCTGCCATGTTCTTATTCAGTCGTCGCATTCGTTGCAATATGATTAAAACGCAGATCCTATTATATAACACGCGTTCTGGTTGGAGTGAGAGATTAGCCAATAAAACGGTCTGTGTTACGGCGAGTTCTTGGCGTGCGATGCACGGAACTGTGGGTAAATCACTAGCCACGTCAACGCTGATTGATTAATCAATGTCTGACGTCATAGGGTCAAAAGCCGCTGGTACTACCCCTGACGTGACCTTCGAGTACAACCTGTCAGATCTTAATGTAGTGTAGGCTATCGAAGGTATAAAAAAACCGAAACGAAATATTGATCTGTAGTTTAATCAGACTGCATGCGTTGTGGGCCTGATATCCCCGGAAAATTTAAGCGAGTATTCATGAAAAGTTGAAAGAACAGATTTAGTTTGTACAATATCATTTTATTGTTTCTTTTGTCAGAATTAATCGCATTTTCTATTTTCTATTTTCTATACCACAATGACTCGTGTTCTTTTTTTATTATTTTCTATTTCAGAAATTCGTAGATTTTTTCTTTGATTTGTAAGAAGATAATGTATCAATATTTGATAATTTTTCCTCCTTGTGATTTATATTCTATTGTTTTATTAATCTCTAGTAAAACTCATACAAATTGACTCGTAATCTAATGAACACGATTCAAGTTTTAATCCCTGTATCAACAGGTATTTATATATATAGTATATTTGATCATAGTTGATCCGTACGTGTTTCAGGTATGTTTATAATATATTTATACTTAATCATGTTTTTCTAGACTTTGTTTTCATTGATTTGCAAAAAAAAAAAAAAAAAAAAAAAAATGGTATCAACATAGATGTTTATTTAATTCTTGCTAGAAAAAAAAATGTTTTGTGGCTGAATTTAAACTATGATATTATGTAGTCTTAAAATACAGATGTTGGCGTATCATTATTTCAAATAATCGCACAGGCAACTTGCTAATCGTACATTATTTATACTAGTGAAATATTGGACTCACGTGACGTATTTCACTGTAAAAGCACGCGTTTTAATGGTCTCGAGCTTAAGACATTGTTACACTATATTACTTCATGTCTCGCTCTCCACCATTATACAATACATAGTGTGTGCGGATATTTCATACAGTATGCGAGCAAGTCATATAGAATTAATTATACAATGAAATCGAGCGCCGTAGACAGCTACGTGTAATATTTATTCCGATAATATATAATTTGGGACTGGGTTTGAGGGGGCGCTTGCTTGGTCTCATGGGGGGGGGGGGGGGTAATCTGCGCCTGCTCCTTACATCAATATGATAACCACACAATGCAAACAGGACACCTGTGAAAAAGTTACTTATAGTCGTTCTCCCTTTGCCCCCTTTTGCATCTCGATTTCTGTTGACTTTTTGGTGAAGAATTGAAGGCGGGTGTTTGAATGTACATTTTCTGCCAGGTGTTAGTAAATATTCATGATTTTGAGGCGGAATGATACAAGCGTTGAGAGGTTGATTATGTTGAAATGTGAGGCATGTTTACTTCCGGTTTCTTTATCTCATGTTTCCATGGTGATGAACCCTATACAACCTTATTAAGCAAGATGTTGCTACGTGTTACTACGGGCATTTTATGGAAAGTTAGACGTGATCTAAGAGATGGGGAGAGTTAGAGGTGATCAAAGAGATGGGGAGAGTTAGACGTGATCAAAGAGATGGAGAAAGTTAGACGTGATCTAAGAGATGGGGAAAGTTAGACGTGATCTAAGAGATGGGGAGAGTAAGAGGTGATCAAAGAGATGGGGAGAGTTAGACGTGATCTAAGAGATGGGGAGAGTTAGACGTGATCAAAGAGATGGGGAGAGTTAGACGTGATCTAAGAGATGGAGAAAGTTAGACGTGATCTAAGAGATGGGGAAAGTTAGACGTGATCTAAGAGATGGGGAGAGTTAGACGTGATCAAAGAGATGGGGAGAGTTAGACGTGATCTAAGAGATGGAGAAAGTTAGACGTGATCTAAGAGATGGGGAAAGTTAGACGTGATCTAAGAGATGGGGAGAGTAAGAGGTGATCAAAGAGATGGAGAAAGTTAGAGGTCTGTCATTGAGTCAACTGGTGGGATTTCCCTTCCCCGGATGTACATGACAAGGAGAAGGGTCGTCTGTCCAACCTCGTGGGGTTTCTCCGGGTCCTCCGGTTACGCGCAAGCGAATTATTGAAATACAATTGAACAATGTGATAGTCCCCAAATGACCTAGTTTGTGTCGAGTGGTCGTTAAACCCCATCCCCCTCTTTCTCTCTCTCTCTCTCTCTCTCTCTCTCTCTCTCTCTCTCTTTCTGTAATTGAATTTATGAAGCTGATCTGCTTCTGTGATAAATAAATTAATGGCATATATTTCCATTAATAAAGGTGTTGAGTTAATAATTTCCTAAGCAGATTCCTCTCAACACAAACTAGGTCATTTCGCGTGGTCCAAGTAAAGGCCCCTACTTGTAAGCGAATTATTGAAATATAATTTAACCATATGTCAGTCCCAAAATGGCGTAGTTTGTGTCGATTACGCGTTAAAGTAACAAACAAACAAACGGATGGGGCGATAAACCGAGGTCGCGTGTAAACATTGACGTGTACGTAAGAGATCCCTTGACAGTTAGAATTCGAAATAAGAGTTGGCCTTACTACCGCTGTACAGGCAAAATGTCTCTTATACCAGTCTTCAGAACAGTAGGATGTTTAACCCCATTTCATTGTATGAGGTCGACCATGGAAATTTGGAAACACACAGATTTGAATTGTAACCATACCCCCGGAAGCTGTTGCTCTTCGTCCCCTTATGAATATTCGCCAACAGGTGGCAGAATATTAGTCACCATATCGCAGGTAATTATAGTAAACACTGGGAATGGGTCTTCTCTTGAACAGTTTTCAGATGTTATTGTTTCCGGGTAAAATTAAATTGAGTTTCCATATGAGGAAGTATGAAGCTATAATTAAATGATTTTGTTTGTTATATAAGTGTGGTAGAGTGATTTTATTTAGTTTATGGGTATTTTAATATGATCACAATACTAATGTAATTTTAAGTAATATGTCACACATCAATGCATCTTTAAACTATCCTGTTCTGTACACTCTTCTAACCAGTGAGTTCGAGTTCATCATCTGGTCACTGGGATTCAATTTTCACCTTTGACCCAAAGGTTTCTTGGATTTGTATTTCCTATCTCCTTGGTCACTTACTTATAGAATCTTGTAGTGTGAGGTTGAATATTTCATTCAACCTTGGTAGTGATTTTATATTTAAAGTTTCAATAGTTTCATTTATTCGTATCAATTGTGTGTATTTGGTATTGGAAGAATTATTATCTACAGATTTATTGTTTACAGTTTAAAGGTATGTGTGGCTATTTGTTTTATCAGTTTTATAAGTTTATATATATTTTATTTGTCTTTGTTAAAGTTGGCGGACATGTTGGTTTTTGTTAATTACATTCTGCAAATACAAGGCATACAGTTTATAATAGTAATACTAGTAACGCTATTTAAAGCATTTCGCTTTAATAATATAATTAATATCAAATACCCCATATTTTATTACAGACAGAGCTATAAGGTACTTCACCTTGTTTCCAGACTCTGGTTACTTTATTAAAAACCCCTTCATGGGTAAGAACATTATTATTATTAGTAAGATTATTTAGATTATGCCTGTATATTTCATACGGGTTAACAGGAGGTAGTTTCCCTTTAAAGTATTTATATAGACTAAGTATATATAAAAGTAGTAGTTAGAATAGAGATTTTAGTGTTAATATGTAATATATTATTTTAATGAATATGAATGAATTGATTTTATATGTTGGATTATGTTATTTATACTGTAATTGTATAATTTCAGGGTTTTTATTATAAGGTAATAAATTGCTGTTTTACTGAACCCTTGGTGTGGTTATTTACTTAATATTTGACCCCCTACAACATAAGCCATAATATAGTAGTTATACAGTAAATTCTAGGGTGGAAGGGGGTTACCTCCTTGGCTACATTTTTGAACACGTGCGAGTTAGAACATAAAGTCTATCATTGAGTCGAGTGGGGTAGTTTCCATTCAACACTTGGTTGTTTAATTTGCCCGGTGACTCGTCCGGGCCCTGCTATTATTAAAGACCTCTGTAAGGGTTTTATTGAACTAATAGCTAGTCTCAACATGACGAGTGGATGTTTAACTCGCTACAGGGGATCGGGAAAGTGAGTTATCTCCCTTATCTGTAAACTTCAATACATCCAGAAAAAAAAAACAAATCATAGATATTGTCACTTGGCGTGGTCATAAACATTTAAAGTCAAATGTGAAAATAATTCTGGCATTTGTGATCGCATAAATTCAATTAACCGTACGTGATTTTATTGACAATATGAAATGTCAGGCAGCTTTCTGACCTGTATGATATATTCTTAGAGTTGCTTTCACGTGACCTTTTTAGTCGTGACGTAGGAACTAGTCTGACGTCATTTTGAAGTAGGTTATCAAGTCTAGCACGTGGTTGTAAAGACTGAACAAAAATGGAGATGAATCTTCGTGATGCTTTATTAAAGTATCTACAATTCTGGCATTTGTGATCGGATTATTTTGAATTGATCGTACGTGATTTCATTTGCAATATCAAATGTCTCACATCAAATGTACGCCATTTCATTTAATTCTTGCGGTATCAACTACATCGGCCAAAAGTCTGATAACTGCAAATGAAGACTTTACAATCATCTAAGCGACATTCGTAAACTTAAAGATACCCCCTTTAACGACCATAGTGAAAACTAGGATGCCTCGGAAAACTCGGAAATCTCGGAAAAAGATTTTCCGAGTTTCATCAGTTCCGAGCTTTAGGTTTTGAGTTTTCGGCACAGAACAAAAAGTCAGATTCTTTTCCGAGTTTTCGGTAAAACATCGTGTAAAAACGAAAACTCGGAATTTAAAAACTCGGAATTTTTTATATAATGTTTCTAAGCGAATCGGGTTGTCGATTGGTTGAATGTGTTAGCATGGTTGTATGTGACAAGGAGTGGGGTCGCCAGCCCAACTTCGTGGGTTTTCGCCAGGGCCCTCCAGTCCCCCCCCCCCACACACTGCCAAAGACCCCTACTCCGAAGCGAAATATTGAAATAAAATTTAGTCCCGAAATGACCTTGTTTGTGTCGGAAGGACGTTAAATATCTCTCTCTCTCTCTCTCTCTCTCTCTCTCGATAACAAGCACCAACATCATGTAGACCATATAAGTAATCTTTAATCAAACAGTAGGCCTATATAATATCAGTGTTTATTGCAAAGAGGACGACATTACATGAAAAGTTTACAGTACAAGATATCTTAGCTTTATATAATTGTCAACAACTCATTAAGCGTTATCTATGGTATATGAGGAACAAATAAGGGAGGCCTAGAGGAGAGTAGGCATAGTTGATTCAGGAGTTTTTCACATAATAAGATCCATATTGGATCCGAATTACTACGGTTTGACATTTACCGATGATGATTTGTCCGAGTTGACTCCTCAAAAAATGAGAATGTATAAAGTAAAAAACCAACGAATCCTAAACGGAAGTTATGGTATCCCCACCTCCCAAAAAGTAGCCGACATGCACAGATGGGGCACTCCCATAAAATTTTTTAAAATTTCAGTCTTCTGTAAACACTGTTTTGGCATATTTTACGGGGGTTAAACTAAAACATTGGGATGTACAGGTTTTATACAGATAGAATCTTAACTAATAATTGTTGTAAATAAATAGGAGTTAGGGCCTACTATGTAAATTTGGGGGGGGGGGGGGTCCAAGTATATTCAGCCCCTCCACAGAAAAACAAAAAACATACCCCACCCCCCGGACCCTCCGTTGTGTGACGCCCATGGACATGCAGTAACCACCGCATTTGTTTTAATAGTGTCAACATTTAAAAACAATGTGTAGAGTCTGCCATACTCTGGAGGCTCAGCGCGGGGGAGGGGGGTTCCATCAAATGGGCACAAAACCAGACCCAACTTTTCTACAGTAAAATTTTGCGTAGAATACGATGCCGAGCGGTAACAAGTCCGCCGTTGGAGCGTTTTCGAGATATTCGGGGTCAAAGGTCAAATGGGTTCATTTGCACTGAAAGTGAATGCGCGGTCATTCTTGTATCATGAAAATAAGCTGAAAATGATCGAAAGTAATCACACTTTCAATAAAAATGTAAACTTGCTAAATTCACCTTTTTTCTTTGTGACCCCAGTGATTTTGAATCCTATCGACTATTTTTTACCCTGATTCCTATTTCCTTGCCAAAGCAATCATTTCTTGCTACAGCTGACACACAATTATAATTCAACACTATCTTCAAGTAGAATTATGAGAACCCTCTACACTTGTAAATACCCTTTACACTTGTAAATACCAGCAAGCTTTAACACGTCTGGAAACACGTTCCCAGGCTTGATTTCTGTTTGGTAAACCGTGTAATTATATACGGTTATCAAGTCTGTAAATATACTGTTCTGTTCGCAGTGTGGAAGGTCATTATCCACAAATGGTCGACAGTTGAAGGTCTTTACCTACAAATAGGCCGACAGTTGAAGGTCTTTACCTACAAATAGGCCGGCAGTTGAAGTTCATTACTTGCAAATAAACTGGGTCAGTGGCGTCCTAATGTCTTTTTATCCAAATCGCACAAACGAATTATTGAAATAAAATTGATCAAAATGTTAGTCCCGAAATGACCTAGTTGTGTCGATTTGACGTTAAACCACACAAATAAGTAAAACCACTATTTAATTCATACCATTTATCTCTAAAATTGTTAAAAATTGTAATAGAACGTCATAACTAAAACAGTTTCACAATAAATATTTTCTAAAAAGTATTTTAAAAGTGTGTTTAAAAGAGTTCAAAGTAATGCCATGCTGTTTCATATTTTAGATGCAAATACATTCAAATCCCTTGAGTACGGACAATGAAGTAGGTAAGTTTTGTGTTATCACCATTTCTAAGTCTCCCACCAGGTGTGCCACTACTGTCAATTTGGAACTAACTTTGACTTCGCGTTGTGTATAAAATTTCAAGAATCAATTGACTCTGGGACAAATTGTCGGTTTACTATGTTTTTATATCTTTATAACATCCACAATATACAGGAAACTACACACACAGCTTTGGTATTAAATATAAGCTAAATATAAGTTCTCTATCCCCTAGCTTGTGGTTTACGTTAACTATGTTTTTATATCTTTATAATATCCATAATACAAAGGTTACATTAAAGAAACTGCACACATTATGACATTAAATATAAGTTCTCTATCACTTAGCGCGTGTTCTGTGGCTAGGGTCATTCCGACATCTAAAGCCGGGAAGGCTGAGGGTATCATGTTCCCCTAGGAACTCTGGATGATGGGAATATTAACCTCGCTGTTTCGTATATAGAAAGTATAGACGCGTCAGCTATTAGGTCGGAACAATTACCCTTTTTGGGTAAGTGTTTCGTATCGGCATCGTTTTACATCAACATTATTCTATTTAATTGGACTAATCTGTGCACGAGATGACTGGACGATAGTACCCTACTTTCAACAATTGATGGTGGGAGAAACTGTCTGTGAGTTAGGTCTAAGAAACTTAAAGCTCGCAAAATACCCAATTAGCCTATTTCTTGTTGCCACCTATTTGTTGAACCACTTCAATATATTAAACAGAGCGCCTTTCATAAAACTAAAATAACCTCTATAATATTACATAGGTTGATCAATATAAATACGTTCTATAAAATAAGCCTGTAGTGTCTCACAGTTATTGGTGCTAGGAAATGATACACAATACTTTGAATTCAACTCGAGTCTCAACTTTGAATTCTACTCGAGCCTCAACTGGTCAACAGTTCCGTCCACGTGGGATCGACGTCATTTCTGTGTTACCTTCAAGCTGTCATTTTACTACTAAACGCACAGTCGCATTCTGAACGCGTACATTAAAATTGACTTGGATGGAAATTAAAATTGTCTTGTGTGAAAATTATGAAAAAACCAAATTATATTAAAATTGACTTGGTTGAATATTCAAAAAAAAAACCAAATTATGTTATTTTTCATGTCCCTTATCAGCCACCGTATGAAACGCCACAGAATGAAATAGTTATAGTTATAGTTTAATGTGTTCAGTATTTAGCACAATTCTTTTAGTGTCCTATTACTTTGTCCTGGTACCGAAAGCATCTTTCGTGTGAAATAGTTATAGTTTAATGTATCCCGTATTTAGCACAATTAGAACGAATACACATCACCAAGGAACCCGTAGGTCTTAAATTCTTTTACAGTGTCCTATTATTTTGTCCCGAGTGCCGACAGCATCTTTTAATCACCGATCTAAATTTTCTTCCCATGACACAATAAATACAGAAATTAAACGTAGAGGTTACTAGAATTGTGTTATTAGAAGCAGGAATAAGGAATGAATAATATTGCAACGGAATTATAATAGTTAGTGTATACGTCTCACCAATTATGATGCCGCCAAGTAAATAAACTGGCATCTCAACAATTAAAAACAAAATTAGAACAAGAATGAGAAGTACATTGGTTCTGTTCGAATCTGTGGTTTGCTGTGTTATTCGTTCCGTTAAATATTTTCTGGTGGTGTTGGCTTTTTTCATGGTTAAGATTAGCTTCGAAGTAATAAATAGCAAACCCGCAGATGGAATTATATAAATAAAAATTAATCTCATAATGTCTTGAACAAGGTGATATATGAATTCATTCTCCTGAATCCAGTGCTTGTATGTGTACTGGCAAGTTGTCTCGGACCTATTGAGTTGATAATTCCAAATGTCTTCTGGCTCGATTTTAAAAACAAAAAAATCACAGACGAAGATTGAAACTGAGACTAGAATCATAACAGCTATGACTCTATAGGCGATCCTGTATTGGCACCACTGTGCTGCCTTGGTTGGGTGGCACACCGTTATATAGCGGAAAACCCCCAGCAATAAAGTAAACCAAGTCGACAAAGTGTGAATCATTACTGGAAGTATGTAAGAAAAAGACAAAACACGACACCAACTGTATGGGGGGTTAGCCCTGGGATCGATCAGATAGTAGAACATTATTGCCCTTGGAAACATTGTCAATGACGCAATCAGATCCGCTATAGCTATAGCCGATAACAGGGTTGAGACCAGTGATTTCATTTCACTTTTTCTTAACATAATCAGCAATAAAACGTTGACTAGTATTACGACTATAATGATATAAAATTGTATGGGACCCCGTAGGTACCATATCAAATCTACAAAGTCAGTCTCTTTTCTTGGTGTCGCCATTGTAGATACGTTAGATGAATTAACTATTTCCATCGTCAAAACTTGTGTGGTAGATTTCCAATGATTATCCGATTTCAAAGTGAACGCAAAGACTTCTGATTCTTTTTACATTTCCTTTACAATGTTTTACTTATAATTTCCAGGATTATATGGCACTCATAAAGAAATGTAAATTAAAATGTACACGTATATATTTAAGCTTTTTTGTTCGATACGTCTTTATTGGACAGAGGTTCAAAGCATTAATCCATATGAGATATTTTTTAATTTAGAATTATTGTACCCGTCGTATGCTTAGGTCAAATACCGCACTATAACATACAGTTATTGCACTCTTAGCATGTTTCAGTCAAATACCACAACATACACTCGTAGTATGTTTCAGTCAAATACCACACTATAACATACACTTATTGAAGAATAATTACGCAATGCATCTTTTGTGCGACACTTTGAAGAGAATCCGTTTTCAAAGCACTGCAAAAGCTATCAGAAATAATGTAAAAGTTTGTCAAACGTTCACCGGATATAATTTCTTTTCGGGATCGTATAAAAGTTCACCCAACGTTCAACGTATAATTGTCTGCGATATCCTCCTAGGTGAAGGGAGACGTAAAGACCGGTGAATAATTGTCTGGGATATTACCCTACGTGAAAGCTGACGTTACGCCTGAAGAACTAACGAACGAACTGATGAACAATTCCTTTTCAAAACACTATAAAATTCTACAAAATTTCAATCAATAAATTGTTCTCCAATATATCAATCATTTCCATGGAACTGTGAATATTGTTCAAGTTCACCAAATAAAATTCATCTGAAATAGACAATTATTGTTGAAATATATGTAATAAGAGAGATCCGGCTCCTACTTGACAAATACTTAAGACGATATGCGACATGAACACTTAAGATAATGTGACTCAACTGAAAGGGGATATATATGAAACATCTACATTCAAGTTAAACCAACTGTATTTATTTATTTTTAAGTCTTACGTCGAGGTGGATAAACTATATGATTTATTGTAATTAAGGCGTCATAAGGTTCCACATACCTCATCGTAACTGTGAATATGATAGTGGTGAGATTGTAAAAGACAGACCAATTGACATGATAGAATTGAGCGCTCGAGATATTATATTTTTCTTCTTTGCGTGTCCTAAATCAGCCACGGTATGTTTCAGAATTACGCAAAAAATATTTAAATTATAAAATGTTAAGGCGATCTATTAAACTTAAGAATTTTTACTTGTTGCATATTTAATCCCAGTAGAAATTAAAACGTAGTTTACTCATGTTGTAAGTATTTTCTGACCATCAGAATTCTGCAAAACCTTTCCTCAGACCCCAAACAGCGCTCAATTCTATCATGTCTATTCGTCTGTCTTATACAATCTCATCACTATCATATTCACAGTTACAGTGAATCGCCCAGTTAGTGGTACCACTAGTGAGTGGGGCCACAGACTCGAGAATTGTTATTTCTACTCTCACAAAACAGGCGAAATTGGCGGACGGTTCTCTTGTTCACAAAAATTTGCTCAGCAATGACCTCAAATGCCGGGATATTGATTCAATTTTTCAAAATTGTCTCGGGTTACTCAGTGTTGTAGCCACTGCCTCTGAGGTTCACATAAATTTAATAACAAAATCAATAACAAACATCATATTATAAGGAACTTTATGTCAAAGTGAATAAAACTGCTTTCCGACGAGATAACGATCAGCGAACAACTATATAGGCAATACGATCTGTGTTCTACGGGGACGTCCAGTGTTATAGCCAGTATTTTGTTGACATTCATTGTGGGGAGTGATTGTGGGTGACGTACTAGATTGGAACTGCCCCACACCCATCCCTTATTCCCAGCTTTCAGATCAGCTACTGGCCCCTAGAAACTATCACCTGTGGTGCCCAGTCCCTGACTGCGGCACTCGTATTTGGGACATATGCATCAGTCGGTCGCATTTTTGCTCCCCCCCCCAAAAAAAAAAAAAAAAAATCTTTATGTACGCCCCTAAGCCTACATTTACATTTCATCGGAGACATTATGGAACAAACATTTTCTGAATAGATACCTCTAAGTACCAATTTTGCTAAACTAATGTCAAAAAACATTTCTCCAAATTCATTTAACCTGAATATTGTGACGACAGAGGAAGGTAGTGATGACCTGTTAAACGGCTCTATCAAACAATAAATCAGTAGCTACACTATGCGGTTGTTTGATATTATACATTCTTCCTTTAATTTAATATAATAATTATAAAACTCATTATACAATTCTAATTTTAAACAATGTACTTATTATTTTGTAAAATACCATAATTATACATATCAGTAGCTACACTGTACGGGTCTTTGATAATATACACACTACCTTGTAATATAAAGTCATATATAATAATTATTCAACTATTTATACTATTCTAATATAAATACCATGACAAAAATCAAATACCGTGACAAAAACCAAGTAAGTAGATAACAAAATATAGTAGAACATATACCATTAATAGGGGAGCTAGCTAGTTTTTAAACTCACGGACAAAATTGGTACTATGCCTAGCGGAGGCACCATCATGCCAGATGATCAGAAGATGATCAGAATAGAAAATCTTAAGTTGCACATACCCTGGGGTTAGGGGCTGTACGATCCCGAAATCGTGGAAAAAGTCGTTTAATTCAATTTTTTGCGGACAAAGTTAATCTTTGCTACATATGTTCACGTTGCTAAGGCAAACTTGAAAAGTGCCCTTCGGAACAAAAAATCCCCTGGCCTCTGACTTCAGAACGCCCCCTAGTGACCCGAGTACGTAGGTTTATTTCAAAATATGACGGATAACTTTGATTCCTTTTCCAGCTGATAGGGTATGGTCCCAAAGCAAATAAAACACAACTTCAGAACAAATAATCCCCAGGGTGTTCCTACTCCAGAACTGGTTCCAAGCTGAACACATTACGAAATCCCGGTAGAACTACTAGACAACTTATTTGTTTCAAGTATGGCGGACAAAATTCTGCGGCGTTCGTGAGCATGGTGCCACAATTGACCTATAAATAAGTACCCTTCAGAAGAGAATATCACCTGGTTTCTACAGTTCAGAACGCTCCATAGTGACCCCAAATGTTACAGACAACTTTGATTTTTTTTCATCTGATAGGGAATGTTCCAAAAATAATTTTAACACAGAGATCAATGCTAAGACTTCTGATTGTTTTAAATTTCTTTTACAATGTTTTACTTATAATTTCCAGGATTACATGGTACTCATAAAGAAATGTATATTTAAGCTTTTTTTTTCGATACGTCTTTATTTGATAGAGGTTCAATCACGAAAGAAAAACAGAAAAAGTCCGTGCATTATCATGTTTTTATAAGGTATAGAAGGAATAAAAACAAGGGACTGTCTTATTCAATGACACTCAATTACTTTATTGAATTGTCAGATATCCTCTCACAGTCTCACACAACAGCTTTTGATCTTCGAAGGAATTCTTAGTGAGCAGAAATTCGCCCATGTATCTGTTATATAGAGGGATAACTCGTGTTTACTTTTGCGTTCGTCACTTCCGATTGTTGAAACATTGATTACTCATCTATCGTAGCAACGATCTCTGTGTTAAAATTATATTTGGAAAGTGTTTAACCAGTTCTATCACATAAGTGATAATGACTGACACCAATATTGTCCTTCAAGCTCAACTTAAAATATAGACACTCGCACGTGCTTTGCAATTTCATCTAGTATAAATAATGTACGCTTGGCACATTGTCCGTACATTATTGGAAATAATGGACGCCAACATCAAAGGATGACGTCACATCTGTATTTTAACTAGGAATAACATAAAGAACTGATAATTCTCTCTATAAGGGAGGCTAAGACTTGAATAACCAGCGCCATAGTTGCTATAAGGGAGGCTAAGACTTGAATAACCAGCGCCGTAGTTGCTATAATAAACAATCCACCCCTTGTGAGTGGTGCAGAACGGAGGACATGGCAAGGAAGGTACAACGTGCAGTCTTCGGATGCTTCGAAAAACCTAGCTCCCATGTACACATTAGTCTGCATGTAGAAGATCCCTCCTCACACTGCATGGCCTATACCCGTTTTCAAGAACCCAGTCGGAGCCAAACAGTAGGACATTAAACCCATTTCATTTCGAATACTTACACACTGAACCACTGCGACTCCCAAACACAGAAATTAAATATCTATATTAGATGATATACTTACCCATAACAACCAATACGAGAATTAATCTTGTATCCATCGTTGGTTATTTATAAATAATACCTAAATGCAGAATGCTATGGACTTATATAGTCTATTTGTCTATTGGTAAACAGGATTTGTCACTTAACAGGATTACAATGAAATTGGCAGGAAGTAATGTTAAGAGCGACTCATGACCAAATATAGGTACATCTTCGTTCTAAGAAACAGGTCAGGCGACCCTACTCCTTGTCACATACAACCGGGGAATCATTTGTAATATCAGATTTCTAAATTGTATCTTTGTTTAATTTAATGATATTTTAATATAATAATAACACTTATTTCAGAACTTTCAAAAATAGAATATTGTGACGACAGAGGAAGCTAGTGATGACCTGTTAAACGGCTCTATCAAACAATAAATCAGTAGCTACACTATGCGGTTGTTTGATATTATACATTCTTCCTTTAATTTATTATAACGATTATAAAACTCATTATACAATTCTAATTTTAAACAATGTACTTATTATTTTGTAAAATACCATAATTATACAATTCAGTAACTACATTGTACGGGTCTATGATAATATACACACTACCTTGTAATATAAAGTCATATATAAAAATTATTCAACTATTTATACAATTCTAATTTTAAACGATGTACTTGTAATATACCATAACTATATAATATTTACCATTGTGTTATACACTAATTAGTTATTAACACATATACCATGACAAAAAACAAATTCCATGACAAAAAACATATACCATTTCAAAAAACAAATACCATGACAAAAAACATATACCATTTCAAAAAACATATACCATGACAAAAATCAAATTCCATGACAAAAAACATATACCATTTCAAAAAACAAATACCATGACAAAAAACATACCATTTCAAAAATCAAATACCATGACAAAAACCAAGTAAGTAGATAACAAAATATAGTAGAACATATACCATTAATAGGGGAGCGAGCTGACCGTTGTTTCTAAACTCACGGACAAAATTTTTACTATGTCTAACGGAGGCACCATTATGGCAGATGATCAGAATGGGAATTCTTAAGTTGCACATCCCCTGGGGTTAGGGGCCAAACGCCCCCGAAATCGCGGAAAAAGTCGATTTAATTCAATTTTTTGCGGACAAAGTCAATCTTTGCTACATATGATCACGTTGCTAAGGCAAACTTGAAAAGTGCCCTTCAGAACAAAAAATCCCCTGGCTTCTGGTTCAGAACGCCCCCTAGTGACCCGAGTAAGTAGCTTTATTTCAAAATAAGACGGACAGCTTTGATTCCTTTTTCAGCTGATAGGGTATGGTCCCAAAGTAAATAAAACACAACTTCAGAACAAATAATCTCCTGGGTGATCCTACTCCAGAACTGGTTCCAAGCTGAACACATCACAAAATCCCGGTAGAACTAGTAGAAGATAGATTTGCTTCAAGTATGGCGGACAAATTTCTGCGTTACTGAGCACGGTGCCACAATCGACCTATAAAAAACGTACCCCTCAGAAGAGAATATCACCTGGTTTCTACAGTTCAGAACGCCCCCTAGTGACCCCGATAGACATGTTTTATTTCAAATATGACCGACAACTTTGATTCTTTTTTAATCTGATAGGGAACGGTCCCAAAATAATTTTAATACAGAGATCATTGCTACGATAGATGTGTAACGAAGATTTCAAGAAATGGAAGTGAAAAAAGCCAAAGGAAAACATGAGTTATCCTTCCATAAAACCGACTGAAGTTATCGCTCGTTACTTACGGTCTCACAGTTATTGGTTAGCTTGAAAATGATACACAACTCGAGTTTCAACTTTGAATTCTACTCGCGCCTCAACTGGCGAACTGTTCCGTCCACGTGGGATCAGCGTCATGTCTGTTTTACATTCAAGCAACCCTACTCCTTGTCACGTACAACCGAAAAATACAATAGAATTTTGGCACAATCAGAATGAATCCACGTCATCAAGGCAACGGTTTACTAGTTTTAGTGCTCGCCATTACAATAGCCTAACCTAACGTATAATTGTTCCCAATATGACCAAGTCGATGTTCATACACGCGGTGGAACGATAAACGCTGGTGTTCAGTACTTAGCACAATCACCAAGGAAACCGTAGGTCTTATATTCTTTTAGTGTCCTATTACTTTGTCCTGGTACCGAAATCATCTTTTAGTGTGAAATAGTTATAGTTTAATGTGTCCCGTATTTAGCACAATTAGAACGAATACACATCACCAAGGAAACCGTAGGTCTTATATTCTTTTAGTGTATCCTATTATTTGGTCCAGAGTGCCAACAGCATCTTTTAATCGCCGATCTACATTTTCTTCCCATGACACAATAAATACAGAAATTAAACGTACAGGTTACTAAAACTGTGTTGTTAGAAGCAAGGGCTATGATAAAAATATCAAGCCCCATAATTATCATAGTTTGTGTATACGTCCCAACAATTAGGATGCAGAGCATTACAGTAATTGGTATCTCAACAATTATAAACAAAATCAGAACAAGAATGAGAAGTACACTGGTTCTGTTCGAATCTGTGGTTTGCTGTGTTATTCCTTTCTTTAAATATTTTCTGGTGGCGTTGGCTTTTTTCATGGTTAAGATTAGCTTCGAAGTAATAAACAGCAATCCAGCAGATGGAATTATTTGAATGAGAAATAATCTTATAAAATTTTTAAGATTGCGATATATGACAGTATTCCCCTGAATCCAGTGCTTGTATTTGTACAGGCAAGTTGTCTCGGACCTATTCAGTTCATGATTCCACATGTCTTCTGACTCGATTTTATATTTTAAAAAATCACAGACGAAGATTGAAACTGAGACTAGAATCATAACAGTTATTACCCTATAGGCGATCCTGTATCTACACCACTGTGCTGCCTTGGTTAGGTGGCACACCATTATATAGCGGTAGACCCCCAGCAGTAAAGTAAACCGAATCGACAATCTGTGACTAATTATTGGAAGTATTTTAGAAAATTCCAAAATATAACACCATGGGAGATTAGTCGTTGGCTTGATCAGATAGTAAAACATTGCCCTTGGAAACATTGTCCATGACGTCATCAGATCCGCTATAGATATAGCCGATAACAGGGTTGAGACCAGTGATTTCATTTCACTTTTTCTTAACATAATCAGCAATTAAACGTTTACTAGTATTACGACTATAATGATATAAAATTGTATGGGACCCATTGTATGGTGTCGCCATTGTGGATACATTAAATAAATAAACTCTTTCCATCTTCAAAATTTTTATGGTAGATTTCCAATGATTTTCCGATTTCAAAGTAAACGCAAAGAATTCTGATTGTTTTACTTTTCCTTTACAATGTTTTACTTATAATTTCCAGGATTACATGGCACTCATAAAGAAATGTAAATTAAAATGTACACGTATATATTTAAGCTTTTTTTGTTCAATACGGCTTTGTTGGATAGAGTTTCGTTTGTTGTTCTTAGCGTTTAACGTCCGCTTCCACCGAAGGTGATATCGCAGACAAGTTCATTTTAATGATCTTAGCGCACGCGCAGGGGTCTTTGCTGTGGGAGGAAACCGGAGTACCCGGAGTAAACCCACGAGGTTGAGAAGGCGCCCCTATCTCCAAGCCACATACGCTCACACCTGGGATCGAAACCACAGCCGCAAGCCAGAGGTGACCGGCCAACTAGAGGTCGAAGCGTGACACTCTAGACCACTAGGCCATCCCAACCCCCCGATAGAGTTTCAAAGCATTAATCCATATGAGATATTTTTCAATTTAGAATTATTGTACCTGTCGTGTGTTTCAGTCAAATATCACACTATAACATACAGTTATTGTACTCTTAGCATGTTTCAGTCAAATATTACATTATAACATACAGTTATTGTACTCGTAGAATGTTTCAGTCAAATATCACACTATAACATACACTTATTGTACTCTTAGCATGTTTCAGTCAAATATTACATTATAACATACACTTATTGTACTCTTAGCATGTTTCAGTCAAACATTACATTGTAACATACACTCGTAGTATGTTTCAGTCAAATATTACACTATAACATACACTTATTGAAGAATAATTACGCAATGCATCTTTGAAGAGAATCCGTTTTCAAAGCACTGCAAAAGCTATCAGAAATAATGTAAAATTTTGTCAAACGTTCACCGGGTATAATTTCTTTTTGGGATACTATAAAAGTTCACCCAAAGTTCAACTGTCTGCGATATCCTCCTAGGTGAAGGGAGACGTAAAGACCGGTGAATAATTGTCTGCGATATTACCCTAGGTGAAAGCTGACGTTACGCCCGAAGAACCAACGGTCGGGATTTTCCGGCGTGATTCCTCCTTGTCAGTGATGCAGGACAGAAGGCCTGGCAAGGACAACGTCGTTTGGATTGGAGGATAAATCGAGGTCCCATGATTGTACACATTGGCGTGCACGTAAAAGATAACTTGGTAATTGGAATTTGATAGAAGAGTAGGTCGTAGCGCCTCTGTCCGTGCAAAATGTCCACAATAGCATTGTTGGCCCAGTTGGAGCAGAACAGTAGAACGTTAAACATCATTTCATTTCGATTTCTGCGCATATTGAACGGAAATGGTTTCCATAATCATGTTTACTGAACATATATATATGTGCATTATAGTTGATTACAATCGCCTTCGGGGTAATAACGTGCTGACCTTTCAGAAATCATCACCCAAATGCAATTAGTAAATTATGAATTCCCATAGAGAATTAAAGCATTTGTAGATATTGGTTCGACATTTTTGATGTTCTTGGTTTTTTTTATTATTTATTTATACTGGTAATAAATCACTCGGTTCTACCTCCACAGAATTTGTTGGGTTTTTGTTTTATATTTGTGTTTCCACGAATATCAAAATTCCATTTCTGATTATGGTAATATATGGTGGTGCTCAAAACAATAACCGATCCCTTAAAACTGTAGGTGGATATTTTAGAATAACCGATCCCTTAAACTGTATGTGGATATTTTACAATAAACGATCCCTTAAACTGTAGGTGAATATTCTACAATAAACGATCCCTTAAAATGTAGGTA